CTGCGAGACCCCTCGCATCCGCGGAACCGGGACCAGAGGTGGGTGCCTCCTTAAGCCCTTCTCATTGCAACCCATAGACTAATGGATAGCCCTCACGACCTCTACACTGTCAACTGCCCATTGCTTTCCCTTGTAGTACTTCCTTGGCTTCCACACAGATTCCTCCCCTCCACACACTGTGCCCCCAAGCTCTCATAACTCCATCACACCTTCACACCATCTGGTTCAGAGCCCCTGGCCTCACACTACCTCTACTATACCTATGACTTTTGTTCATCCCCAAGCTCAGAGTCACACAGCTGGGAAGCAAGGACCTCTTCTTGCCAGCAGGTCTAGCTCTTTCCCTTTAACATCCAGTTCACAGAGCCAATACTGGAGAGACAGGAGCCAGTAAAAGAAAGGCAAAAAAGAGGGAGGCTGGGCCAGTGAGGGCAGGAGCACTCTGGACTGTCTGAAGTTGTAATCTGCCTCCCACCCTACCCCGCCCCAGCCTTCCCAATAAAAGATTCTCAAAGCTGAATTTAGCAAGCAAGAGGGGATGCTGATGCTGCTGCCTTTCTTGTTTTCATTTGTCCCCAAATTGCTCTGCTCCGGAGTCAAGTCCTTCGTCTGTCTCCATGCCTCTTCTGTTTTTCTGAAGGTTTCAGAGTCCTTTCCAAAGCCCCCAAGTATCTCTTTTCTTATGTCTCACTTTCCTATAGCCAACTTCCCCTTGCGTCAGTCACCCCATCCCTGTGTGTCACCACCTTCCCTTCCCACTGCTTTTACTCATCCTGTCTTCAAAGTGCCTCTCCCTCCTCCCATCAGCTAACATCTTCATTGCTTCAATGAACATTCTAAAATGCATTTCCCCCTTCCCATACTCATATTAACTTGCAATGTTTAATGAACACTTACTAAGCCAAACACTGGGGACGCTGGAATGAACTAGACACAGTCTGCAGTCTCATCAGTATGTAGTCAAGTACACCGGGACAAAGACCATTGGGGAAATCCCAGCCTGTAAGTCCCACAAACGGGCCTGATTAGAATATGCACAACCAAAGGAGATGGGAGTCTGATAACCTCACTAAGGGTGCAACCCAGGAGCGTGGGTTCCATAAACAGAAAGTTATGGGGGAGAGTTGGATTCTGTGTTCAAGAAGTAAACGTTGGCATAAATTATAATCTACATATTTACTTAACCCATAAAACAATCCATGCTTTCTCAGTTTGGCTGTTACGCACTGTCACTTAGATTCTTTCATTCAGGAAATATTTATTGAACCAGAAACTGTGCTAGGCAACAAGAATGTGAGTTTAACAAAACTGACACAACCCTACCTCATGGAGCTCTGAGTTTATAGGGGAAACAGACAAATAAGCAAGGAACAGCAGCACAAAGAGGAGAACGAGAGTGAATATACAATAGGAACACCTCCAGCCTGCCCTGCCCTTGGGAATTAAGACTGCTTTCCTGATAAACGTTGAAGCAGAAAAAAATATGACAGATGGAGAAAGCTAACTGAAGAAAAAAAAAAGAGGCATAAAGTGTCTTAGGCAAAGATGCACTGTCTAGAAAGCTCAGAGTTTAAGCTCTTGGCACATTTGTTCATCACAACTAGTTTTTGGATGGCTGGAATATATACCATTAAAAAAGGTACATAATCAACACTCATGCTGAGCCAGCCTGGAGTATTTATGGAGAGCTTTATAGCCCTTGCCAAAGAGTGTAGATTTTATCCTGAGCATTAGGCTCCACTGAAGGATTCAATAGTGCTGCCAGGGTTAGTTGCGTTGTGTCAAAAATGGATGGGCAGATGAGATGGACTGCAGAAGGATACTTTAGAAAGCTATTACATTACACAGATCTGACTGAAAGATGATGCTAGCATAGGCAGAGGTACTGGCAGAGGGGATAAAGAGAAGTGGATGGTTCTGAGAGCCACTTCTGGAAATGGAATCAACAGAACCTGATGATTGATTAGAAGGAGAGACGGTGGATGAGGTCAAGGGATGAAATCCAGTTTCTGGTTTGGGAAATGGAAAGGACATATCATGAGAAAGATAATCAAAGAGGGGCTGGATATGCACTTCGTATTAGAGCACTTGCCTAGCTACTGCAAGGCCCTGGATTCAGTCCCCAGCAACAAAGGGCAAAAGCAGTTTTGGAAAAGGGGATTACTATAAGTTCAGTTTGGAATCCATGGAGTTCAAATCCAAAATTCAGAGATCTAGAACTTACCTCAGAGGGCTGAGCTGGAAGTACAGACTTGAAAAGTCTTCATCTGGAGTGAGTACAGGAAACCATAAGAAAAGGGAAAAATCTTTTAAAAAGACATTGTATAAAATGAGACCAGGAAACTGAGATAGGGCCCTACAGAAGACAGGTATTAAAAAGCAAAGCAGAGGGAGCACATTCTGTGAAGAGATTGAAATGAAACAGAGACAGTAGCTGTGTCTTTGCAGAAAGGAGAGGAGAGTCTTGACTGAGGTGGAATAAGTGATGCCAAATATTGCTCTGACGAGTCAGAGATGAACAAAACAACCACACTGCTATTGCTTAGACACAACAGCTAGTTCTTAGGAGGATATGTGGGTACTGAGACCTGACTCAGAAGGTGGAAGGTTGGCCCACAAGGAAGAGATTGCAAGAAGTGAACAAGAGTAGTTAGGCAAAATGTCCAAGAAGTAGGGTTATTGGGAGAAAGAGAAATAGAACAGTGGTAGAAATTTTATGGGGTTGAGGAAGAGTAGGCTGTAGCAGAACATTAATCCCCCCTCTTTGGAAACAGGGTCTCATTTGTTGCCCAGGCTAATCTCAAAATGGTGGTTTCAAACAGTTTTTATGCATTTGCCCTTTGAGTAGCAAAGACTACAGATTTGCTACATCCTGGGTATTTAAAAGTAGGAAAGAATCAGGAGAGATATTTCAAGATTCTGATACAAAGGAGGGTAGCCAGTAGAGGAGGGGTGTCCCTGAAGAAACAAGGTGTTCAGTGATTCATAGCCCAAGTGCAAAGACAGGCCTCATTTATCTGGATGCTTTTGCTTGGACACACCAGGTTGTTATCCGGATGCCCAGACACCACTTGCAAAGAGTGTTGGCCAGTCTCACTGGAAGATTACCCCACAGATGCATATACCAACTGGGTTCACATTACCCTACAGATGCATGTGTCTCCTGGGCTCACAGTACTCCACAGATGCATATATCATCTGGGCTCATAGTACCTACCCCACAGATGCATATGCCACCTGGGCTCATAGTACCTACCCCACAGATGCATATGTCACCTAGGCTCACACTACCCCACAGATGCACTGGACTCACTACATTACCAAGAGAAATTTGGATGCTGTGCACTTTATTTTTAGACAAACCTGTGACTTTATCATTAGCTCAGATGCTGTCCACATTCAAATGGGTGACTCCCACATGCACATTGGTATTGACCACTGTCATTTTGAGGTTATTTGTTTGTCACATACTACTCATTTTATAATTACCTACAAAAAATCACATCTTCCCCATGACTGCTTAAGTAAACCTTCTCTGGATATTACCCAGAAAGTCATGCAGTGTCATTCTTAAGCACTCAGATATTTTCAGCAAAGATACAGAGAGTCACTATGTTCACCCGGGTTCTCAGCTATTTCACACAATCAAGATTAACATCTTAGCTGAACTAAATGTGTTAACGTCTGAGGTTTATACTCACTTCAATCGTGCCCACACAGCTTGGATATTACTACCACCCCCTCAGTGAGAACCACCATCAATTGATCGTTCCCCATTCACATATAGAGCTCTGCATGTAACCCATGCTTCCTGAAGATGTCACCTACAAATTGAAATGTTATTTAGTTTTAGTTATTATTGTCCTTGTTTACTCCAACGTCATCACAGTTACTTGGGTGTTCTTTAAACTTAAACACAGCTTATATGTCAACCTTTAGACATGTAGATGTTATCTTTCTCTAGCTATCTCTCAAAGAAACAAGGGCTACCTTCACCTGCCTCTATATTATTCTCAAACTCTAAAACATCACTGTGTTCTGCTATTTCCAATCCACCATTGCACAATACCGCTGCTTCCTTGCTCAGTGCCACTGACACTTGGTTGTCTCCCATGCACCAACTATTTCCATCAGTCAGTTGAACACTACCCTTGCACACCACTGAGAGATATACATGAATATTACACTGGCATCTCTGTTCATGAGTTACCAGATACAGCACACCAGGTGAAGACATTGGCTGCTTCAGTTCCTGTGACTTTTTTCTTAGAAAACCCTGTTCATTTTTGTTTTGTTTTGTTTGTTGATAGGCTAAGTTGTACCCTAGGCTGGTCTTGAACTCGTGATCCCCTGCCTCCAATCCCCAGGATTACAAGCATGTGCCACCACATCTTGTTTAAAGGGTGCTGGGCAAATGAGTCACATCCTCAGCTTAAGTCTATCATTTGTTGTAGATGTTGTCTGGAACCTTGTGCTTATGCTTTTCTGCCATCATCTGGATGATCTCTCTCTCTCTCTCTCTCTCTCTCTCTCTCTCTCTCTCTCCCTCTCGCCTCCACACACACACCACCACAAACACACACACACCCCCACACATAAACACACATTTACAATCTCACTCACTCTTTCACAATGTTCACTCACTTTACATGTTCACACACATTTGCTATACAATTGCTTGTCATGCTTACTGTGACTTTATTCTCTTGTTTCCAGAAAACTCCACCTATATTAAGAATTTCATAAAGGGGAAGCCTAGTTTTATCTTTTTGGGCTACCACTAGCCAAGGTCAAGGGCACACATATGATGTGTATCTGAATGAATATGGTGTGTAACTGAATGAATGGGGGAGACACAAGTTTTTAAGTACTGTGTAGTTCAAAGTGCTACACCACCTGAAGTGAAGTTATTACACTAAGAATTAGTTGAAGAGAGGTCCAGGGGACGATGTGAGAAAGATGGGGGAACTAAAGATGTTAAAATGGGTTGAGACAGAAGAAAGTGAACTTGGAGAAATGAGTACAAAAAAAAAAAAAAAAGGCCACCTACTGTTTTTCCTCCTGGGTCCAAGAGCCTCTCTGACAAAGATCTTTTCTTCCAAAGTTTAATTATTGTCCCTGCATGTGCGCGCACACACACACACACACACACACACACACACACACACACACGTTCGAGCATGCACACCTCTCATGCACTTCAAATTTGTCACACATAAGCCTTCCATAATCTGTCTCTGTGAAAAGAACATAGTTTGAGCCAGGTGTGGTGGCATACACCTGTAATCCTAGCACTGAGAAGGAAGAGGCAGTAGGATCTCTTGGACAGTAGAACTTTTGGACAGCCAAGACTGCATAAAGAGATCCTGTGAAGAAGAGGAAGAGGAGAAAGGGGAGAAGGAGGAAGAAGAGGAAGTAGAAAAGGAAGAAGAAGAGAAAGAAGAAGAAAGCTTGAAAAATAAACATACAAAAACAAGAGTATTGCACCAAAAATCAGTCTGTCATCTGCTATTGGCCCTTCAAGACCCTCCAATATGTATCTCCTAAGATACACAGGCAGAAGAGAGAGGCACAACAGAGTGAGGTGCCATGATGGAATATAGAGACAGAAGCAAAGAGGAATTTAGATTGAGATTTGATTAGGAGAAGAAAGAAGTAGTATGATGAATGACTGGGCCCTTAGGCAGCTGTAAGAGGCAAAACATTTCAGGCATCCTGAGATCTAAGTAAGTAATGTTACTGTTAAGTCCTGTACGAAATCCTTTTTTAAAGATTTATTCTATCATCAACAACAGCAACAGTAGTAGTGGTGTGTGTGTGTGTGTGTGTGTGTGTGTGTGTGTGTGTGTGTATGCAAAATAGGGCATCAGATTCCTGTAATGATAACTCTTTCCACCAGCCACCCAATATCCAAGATCTGGAATTGTAGTTGTGAGCCAACCAGCATAGAAATGCTCTACAGCTAAGCCCACTTTCCATCCAGCCCCCCCTTTAAAGATTTCTAATAAATAGAACTTATTTATTATCTAACAAATAGAGCAACTTTTAAATGAGCTAGTTATCATTATGAGGCAGCAATACAGTTTGGAAACTAAGCCAAGAGTCAGCTAAGAGAGTCAAGCTGAGTGTTAAGCAAGAGAAGGCTGTACCTCTGGACCCCTCCTACCCCCACAGTGTAGGAGGCTTTCTCTCTTCAAACTCCCATCTCCTTGACACTGAGGTCATGGGTATGGATGACTCAGCCCACTTAAACTCAATCCAGTTTTATGCAGGTTTGCATGAATATGATACAAAGGTCCAAAGATGAATCTATCTCCCAATAGACAATGATACAAATGAATTGGTCACTCTCCGAGCCCTTCTGACTCACCCAGCAGCACTGGTTCCCTCCTGGGGATCCCACAGCCTCTTGTACATCTCTCAACCTCACTTCCTATAAAACGGTATGGCAATTTTCTGTGTAAGTATCTCAGATTCCCTCTTTACTGAAAGTTCTCAAATGGCAGGGAGTTTGTCAGTCACCTTTTTGTCCCCAGTGCCTGACACAAAGGGAGTCCTCTGCAAGAGTTTACAGAGTAAGAATGAATGTTTGAAGATTACTAAAGCACAACTCAGAGAGGAAAAGGGGGTTCTAATAAGTATGTAGGGAACATGGAACAGGCATGGGACAAAAAAGTGGGAGACTAGTTCCAAATGTGGTGCTTTCCAAAGCAGTGGCAATCAAGCTGATTCTTGGTAGATGAGGGATTTATAGGCATTTACCAGATTTAAGAAATGTTTGCTTTGGGGGGTGGAAGTAGGGGGTTTATGAGAGAATATTCATTCCAAGGATGAGAAATCAGCTTAAGAAGGGAGTCACAAGTGTTCATGATGCATTCAAGAAACTGAGTCATCAAGTGGCTTGAGTAAGTGCAGCTCTGAGAGGAGGTGCAGTCCTGAAGGAGGGGTTGTAGATAGTACAGAGTAATGAATGGCTTTTCTCTTTTTTTAGTTGAGGAAGGGCTGTTTTGGTTTTGTTTTCTGTTTGTTTAGAGAACACAGACATGATCCAACATGGTTCTAAGGGGAATGGCTGGTCAAGGGTACATGAAAGTATGATGGAATGGGCAGAGAAGGACCTTTCAATCTGGTATCTACAGATTAGTGATCTTGAGAAGTAGCCAACCAGTGATAGGGATAGGTCCTTAAAGTGTTTGCAAAGAAGAGCAATTATGGAGCCAACCATAAGGAGAGACAGGATTCTAAGAAATAGTAGTGTTGGGCCAACTCAGTTAAGCATTTATGATGGTAAGGCATTTACTGTCATCATTTACTACATAGCCTCTTAGGGTTAACAAGAGTGTTCTCAGGGTGCCAGGATCTAACCAGATATTATGGCTTGGGAATGAGGTGGAATTGGGGATCTGGATGAATGGTGCTCAAATCCTCCTACAACCAGCTTTCTCTCTTTTCTGCCTAGAATTGGAGCTGGCCATTAGAGTCACTCTTTATGCTGTGATCTTTCTGACGAGTGTCGGAGGAAATGTGCTCATCATTGTGGTCCTGGGACTGAGCCGGCGCCTGAGAACTGTCACCAATGCCTTCCTGCTCTCCCTGGCAGTCAGTGACCTCTTGCTGGCTGTGGCTTGCATGCCCTTCACACTCCTGCCCAACCTCATGGGCACATTCATCTTCGGCACAGTCATTTGCAAGGCGGTTTCCTACCTCATGGGTAGGTGAGATAAACACATTTCCCTCTTAGTCCTCTCCCTTCTTAAAGTACTTGACAAATACAAAAGTTTTCCCTGATGGGGGTGGAGGAAATCATACTGGTGAGCATGTAGGATGTTTGTTTCCAAGGTGACCATTTCTTCTCACCTTGCTTAGGAGTGTCAGTGAGTGTGTCCACGCTAAATCTCGTGGCCATAGCCCTGGAGCGGTACAGCGCCATCTGCAGACCACTGCAAGCACGAGTGTGGCAGACACGCTCCCATGCAGCGCGGGTGATATTAGCCACGTGGCTTCTGTCAGGATTGCTTATGGTACCTTATCCTGTGTACACCGCCGTGCATCCAGTGGGGCCTCGAGTGCTGCAATGCGTGCATCACTGGCCCAGCGCGCGTGTCCGCCAAACCTGGTGAGGGCACCCACCAGCCTATCTTAGGAAGCCCTTTTCCCATCTTCATCAGATGCTTACACTCCTTCCCCAGAGCAGTCCCCCAGCTCCTCCAAGAATTTTCCCACTAAGCCCCATTCTGCACCCCCACATTTGGGATTCCAATTTGGGGCCCCTTGCCAGCGTCACCTCCCAACACTACCTCTGCCTCGGCCACCCGGACACAGTCCAGTTTTTGGCTCTTCCTCTACCTGTAACTGGCTGCACAGGAGATTGTGATTGCTCTGTGTTATGTCTCCAGGTCAGTACTGCTCCTGTTGTTCCTTTTCTTCATCCCGGGAGTGGTTATGGCTGTGGCCTATGGGCTCATTTCTCGCGAGCTCTACCTTGGGCTTCGCTTTGATGGTGATGATAGTGACACCCAAAGCCGGGTCCGAAACCAAGGAGGCCTGCCCGGTGGGGCAGCACCAGGTGGGTGAAATGCATGACGGTGGGGCTTTGGTGATGGACATAATCTCCTTAGTGGGTGGATCTGAAAGAAGTGTAGAAAGGAGGCAGGAGCCCAGGGTAAAAGCTGTGGGGAAGGGGCGTCGAGTAAAAGTTGGACTGAGATTGGCATCTGCCTTCTGCTTTGATCGTACCCTTTGTGTTCTGTGCTCAGGGCCTGTCCACCAGAATGGGGCTTGCCGGCCTGAGACTACCCAGGCTGGGGAAGACAGTGATGGTTGCTACGTGCAACTTCCGCGTTCCAGACTGGAGATGACAGCTCTGACCACGCCCACTCCTGGGCCAGGCCCGGGCTCTCGACCCATCCAGGCCAAGCTGCTGGCTAAGAAAAGAGTGGTGCGAATGCTGCTGGTGATTGTTGTGCTTTTCTTCCTGTGTTGGCTGCCAGTGTACAGTGCCAACACGTGGCGTGCCTTCGATGGCCCAGGGGCACACCGAGCACTCTCAGGGGCCCCTATCTCTTTCATTCACTTGCTGAGTTACGCTTCTGCCTGTGTCAACCCCCTGGTCTACTGTTTCATGCACCGCCGCTTTCGCCAGGCCTGCCTGGACACATGTGCACGCTGTTGTCCACGGCCTCCACGAGCTCGTCCCCGGCCTCTTCCGGATGAGGATCCTCCTACTCCCTCCATTGCTTCACTGTCCAGGCTAAGCTATACCACCATCAGCACACTGGGACCTGGCTGAAGGGTTGAGTGTGTGGAGGGTGAGACAAGACACATGATCCCTATAAACTGACCCATCCAAAATCATGAAACACACCAGGACTAATCCAGGTGGACATCCAACAGCATGGAGAGACCCCTACACACAGAAAATGCTCTTTGCTGCTCCACCTGAAACAGATAGTCTTGCACAGGAAAGAAGGCACACTTTTGATATGGGACTGAGTCCCACCCTAGGCACGTGGCACTGACCCCACTGGATAGACAACCGACAATGTCTGCAGCAGTGAATTTCTTCACACATGGGAGCTCTGACAAGGGCTGATTGGCTCCTCATATGTATACATTAATGGCACTATTCTGTAGTGCCCATAGCCTAGTGTAAGACTGACTTAGGACATTGCAGACTGTCCCCATTTTGACCTCATCATTCCCTTCCTCACCCAGCATTGAAAATATCAATAGGATTAATCACATACCTTCCCAACGTGCAGACCTTTCAGCAATGAAAAGCCCCCTCATCCTTCTCCATTAGGGACTCTGGCCCTGCCCCTCTTCCTTCACCAGACCACCTCATAAAATAATGCATGACTTAGTGTCCTCTTGGACTTTCTGAACTTTGGGAGGTAAGTGAGCAAGTGTGGGTTATGTAAAGGCTTCTTCATCTATTTTCTTCTACAACTATTCAACCCTGTGTCCAACCTTGTGCAAAAATGTCTTGGTATGAGGATAGACAGGGATGGGTGTATCCTCACATGATCCTCATCTTGGATCTACCCATACTCCAGTGATTTTGTTGCTGGGATTCAACGTGACAGGTGGGATATCCACGACACTTCATGATTCCTGAGTACTTCCCATTCGATGCCATTGTTAAAATACTATATTAATGGATACTTGTTAAAATTTTGATGAAAAGATAAAAAGATGAAAGACTACATAAGACTTAGATTATTCAAAATGTATTTGAAGCACCAAGAATCAGATTGTGGCAGGTACATAGAAGTTAATTGAAGAGTGGGGTCTTTTTATTACATGCTTGATCTCCTTTAGTTTCAGAAACTGACCAAGATACAGTTGAATAAAAGTGCCTTCACTAGATGTAGCAACAAAGAGACCTGGGGGTGACAGGATGGAGTCAGTGTGAGTCTCAGAGCCCAACTTCCCTTTTGACCATAAAACTCATTTATCCCCAGAGAAAGGCAGAGACCAGCAACTTCATCACTTCACACACACACACACACACACACACACACACACACACACACAGACACATAGAGAGAGGGGGTGCAACAAGCAGATGAGGAAGGGAAGAAAAAGATAGACAAGAATAATCAGATGCAAAGTATTGGGAGAAGAAAGATCCTTGGTGCTTTATCTGGCCATCCATAGATGGGAGAAATAGGCTGTTTTAGAGTTACTGTGGCTGTCATGAAACACCATGACCAAAAGCAAGTTGGGGAGGAAAAGGTGTATTTGGCTTACATTTCCACATCATAGTCCATTATTGAAGAGAATCAGGACAGGAGTTCAAACTGGAACCTAGAGGTAGGGGCTGCTGCTGGGGATATGGAGGGGTATTGCTTACTGGCTTGCTCAACGTGGCTTGTTCAACTTGTCTTGCTCAGCTTGCTTTCTTATAGAACCCAGGACCACCAGGGATGGCATCACCCACAATGAGCTGGACCCTCCCCCATCAATCACTAGTTAAGAAAATGCCTGATAGGCTTGCCTACGGCCAGATCTTATGAAGGCATTTTCTTTCTTTCTTTTTTTTTTAGCTTTCTTTTTATTTATTCTTTGTGTCTTTCACATCATGCATCTTGATCCTATTCATTTCCCTGTCCCTTCATATCCACCCTTTGCCCTTGCAACAGCCCCTAAAATAAAATAAAATTTAAGAGAAAGAAAAGAAAAAAGAAAAAAACCTCTCCATGGAAGCTGTAGTGTGACACAGTGAGTCATACAGTAAACTCTTTTGTCCATATATCTTGACTTGCAAGTGTTCATTGCAGAGTCATTGGTTACTGGTTTCTGCTACACTATTGATGCTGGGCCCTCACTGGGACTCTTGTTGGATATCCTGTTGTTGCCCTCTGTCATGAAGATCCTGCAGCTTTGGGTTTGTAGGACTGACCCCTTCACATACTCACACAGATCACAGATAGGGTAGATGATGGGGTGGCCAACTCATAACCCTGGGCCTGGGCCTGGGCCTGGGTAGTTACAGGGTTAGTCAGCCTTCCCGCTCTCCCTCGTCCTCACCACCAGGGTGACCTCTACTGCATTGCCCTAGCTTGTTCACCCCTTGGAGCAAGGAGCAAGGAGCAGGGCCAATTCTCCTGCTTTCATGCCCATGGAGACATTTTCTTAATTGAGGTTCTTTCCTCTAGGATGACTTTGTATCAAGTTGAAATCAAACTTTCCAGCACAGAGACCTAAAACACACCACACCACACACACACACACACACACACACAAACACGCATACACCCACACACACGCACGCATGCACGCACGCAAACTGCCAAATGTCTTATAATAATCTAGGGGAAAATAGAATAATTTCAGTGGAGCAGTGGTAGCTCAGCTTGCTGCTCAGGGTGATATCCCTAGATCCATTGATGGAAGGAGAGCATTGACTCCTGAAAGCTGATCTCTAACCTCCACTTGTACACTATGGCATGTGTACCTGCACTCACACATACACCATACACACATAATAATAATTCACCATTTTAAAATAAGAAATAACAGCTAATGGCTTGCTCCTCAGCTAGGGGTTGGAACCTCATAAGCTCCTTCCCTCTCAACGCTGAGTGTTGAGATAGGGAAGTCCAGCAGACGTTGGTGATAAATATGATCTAAAGACACTACATTTGTGTAGGAAATTATCACAGAACAAACTTAAGAATTTGAAGAACCATATTGATGAGAACACTGAGGTGGACACATGCAGACCCAAGTTTTGTGAGGCATGAGGTATACAAAATCTTGATGCTTTTACTAAAGAAAAAGAAGACAAAGCTAGTGGACATAAAATTGCTAGAGCCCTTACCCAGCACCTTGGGAGAAGGCTCAAACAAGTAAGGAGCCCTGAAACAGAAGCTTCACTAACCTTGTCTGACATCTACCCACTAACCAACCACCCTAGAGAAACGCTGGATGGAGGGAAATGCAGTGGAAAGGGACAACGGCCCCTTGCCATTATAGGGTCGTTCCTATCCATCATTTCTCCCGGGTTCTGGGCTGTGAAAAGATGGGAGAAGGAAGAAAATGAAGGAGAAGGCGTTCCAAGCTGTCATCTGAAGACCGTGCTAGTTAAAAATAGAATCCCAGCTGGCCTGAGGAGCTGGAGGGAGGTATTAGGCCTTACACACATGCCAGCTTTTCTATGAGAGCAGGAATAGGCTGTCCTTAGGCTCCTCAGTACCTTCAACCAACCCTTCTAAAGGAATGATGAGGGCTGCTTCTCTATCAGGAAGGCATTGACTCCCGAGGACCACCAGAGAGAGTAGGAGCTGGGGTGGGGGAGGACTGAGTCCTGCCTCTTTGGACTTCCAGTGTGAGTCTAAGTACTATAGCCCAGGCTTAACCTAGAACCAAGCACAGGGCATTGCCTGGGAAATAACACTGTGCATGCTGAAACCCACAGAACACCCACACCTCAACCACCCAACTCTGTGCAATAGCCTGCTGCCAGAAATGAAGTCCAGAGCATCTCTCATTTGGTTTATGTTTGCTGCAACTGGGCAAACTATGTCTGGTGCAGACTTAATGTCACTGTCCCCGTGAAGCCCTGCTTTATCACTCTAGAAGGCCTGTCTGCTTGTTCGGTACTTCACTACTTTTTTTCTCCTGACAACTATTTGTGTTCCTGCCTCATTTCTCTCTTGGGAGGAAACAGTATGAGATAACAGGAAGATGACAGAGCCAGGTGACAGAGGGGCTGCTGGTGAAATGGTGATGCTTCCTGGTGCTGTGACAGGCATTTAGACAGATTCATTGATTTCCTTCCTGAGGCTGTTCCCTTCCACGGAGCAGTCCTCTTCTTCCAGCAGTGAGGAAAGTAAAGTTATATAAGTCCCCACATCCAGAAGAGAGCCCAGAACTGAGCTCAGATACCTGACTCCAAAGCCTTCCCTCTACATCAGGCCTCGGATTCTTTAACCCCTGTAGCACTAGCCACCCGGGGTTGTGTGAAGCTGGGCTTGGCAGTGCACACCTTTAATCTCAACACCAGAGGTAGACACAGGTGGATCTCTGTGAATTCAAGGCTAACCTGGTTTGCATAGTGAGTTACAGGATAGTCAGAACCTCACAATGAGACCCTGCCACCCACACACACCAAAAAAAAAAAAAAAGTAGTGTGATTTTATACAAGTTGTCTCAGTGAGTTTCAGTCCCAACTGTCTAACAGGAATGATTACATTACATTCATAACACCATCTCAGAATTAAGTAGAATAATGAGCATGAAATAGTTCATCACTGAGTCTTGCACACAGCATGATAAGGGTTAAGCCTGAAATTTTGTGACCAGGAGGAAGAAAAGCATCAAGAAACAGACCCTCTACAGTTAGGCAGTCTATCATTTGGATCTAGTGTGACCTCCCAAATGCCCACGTGTTAAATAATGTCTTAGGGCCCAGCTTCGTGATATTGGGAAGCAGTGAAAAGCATGTGGGGTCGGGAAGGGATGATAAAAACCATGTATGTTCACATGACTGTGGATCCACTCGTGCATGTGAGTGCATGTGTGTATATGGGTGTGCCTAGCATACATGTATGCTGGCATGTGGAGATTGGTCAACCTTAGATGCCTTTCTTCAGGAGCCACCCACCTTGTTTGTTGAGACAGGGTCTCTCACTGACTTGGAACAGTAGACTAGCCAGAGAGTCATGAGTCCCTCTGACTTCACCTCTTCAAGGCTGGGACTGAAAGCATGTACTTCCACACCAGGCCTTTTAAATGTGGGTTCTCAGGATCTAACCCAGATCCTCATGTTTGCACAGCAAGTACATTATCAGCTGAGCCGTCTCTCCCCAGCCAGCCTGGAACCTGCTATGTCAAAGTCTGCCTCTGCCTTCCAAGTGCCAGGATTTAAGGTGTGCCCCACCCCCAACCTCAACTTGTTAAAGACAAGGGGCTTATTAGGAAGTCATCCGGTCAATGGAGGCATGCCACAAAGAGGATATTGGAATGCCAGCCCCCGATTTTCTTTTTGCTTCTTAGCTATCATGAGGTGAATAGTTTTTCTATATCACATGATGTCTACCACAGCCCCTCCACAGCCTTAAAGCAATGGGACTGTTTAGATGCTCTCCAGTTTAATTAATGCACCCTGCTTCCAAAACTGTGAGCTAAACCAAGTTTTACAACTGAAAAGGACAGACCCTTAGTTTAAAGGGAGAGTCAGAACCCGCTGTAAAATGATACTAGAAAGAAAAGTCAGTAATTAAACCCAGCTCAGCCTGACCCCAAAGCCCACCTTTTCACCATAAATTCTGCCTGATCATTAAGGGATGCAGGATACAGTTGAGAGCAGCATGGAGCCACTCATAACTCTTCCCAGGGCTCAAAGCAGAGGGTAGATATTACATTTGTAGCTCTGAGGGCTCAGCTCCTCAGCAGCTCTTGTTCTACTCTCCCTCTCCCTATAGGGAAGTCCCTAGGAAACAATCTTCTGTAATGCAAAAGCACTGGGCAGTATCCTAGAAATTTAATATTTCCCAAGAAGGCAGGCTTCATAGCTGTGGCTCAGAAACTCCAGGCAGTAAGCTAGAGGGAAGGAGTTGCCACCATGAGCATATAGAGGGTACAGAGGACACATCCCATCTCTCTCTCTCTCTCTCTCTCTCTCTCTCTCTCTCTTTCCCCCTCTGTAATGCTGATTAGTCAGATCTGACTAGTGGGGAGAAAAGGACGAGTTACAGACTGTTCATTCAAGTTACCTCTAGGAAGTGGAAAAGGAAACAAAGCAGGAGGCATGGGACGGCAGCAGGACCTATCTCAGTTTTGCTGTTGAGTCACAGTGGATGTGGGGCTCTCCAGTAAACTGCAACCTTTGTTGTAGATTCAAACCATGATCCTTTGGCTGCTGGCTGCTCTCCGAACCTCAGCTACTATTCCTCAAACTTAGGAGGCCCTTGATCAGCCAGAACCCTGACTCATCCCTAGCAACATGCATAAAGATCATCACCTCTTTTTAGATAGGACCCAGGCTTTTGGCAATAAAATTTCCAGCCTTGCCATGTAGCCACATCTTGGGAATAGGAAACAGTTAATGAATTAGAGCCACCGAAGTAGAGCTTGTCTTAATCAAACAGTTTTGGACGTCAGAACCCAGAGAAGGCATAGAAGTAGTGATTGATAAGAACTGGAAGGCTTCTGAGGAATGTACATTTACAGGATAAGAGTAGCTAGAGATAAAGCATCCAGTTTCTCAGGACAAAACAAGAAGGCTTCAAGCAACACGGAAGAGACAGGGAGCCAAGACATTCCACACTGGAATACAGTACCTCATGTATATTTTAAGAAACAGGGTAGCCTAGCTGAATGTGTGCAAGGCAGGACAGCTAGCTCTAAGGGCCCTACACAGACAGAAGCAAAGCCCTCCAGGAAGAATGCAGCTTGTTGGAAAGGAGGATTCCTTTCTTACCTAAT